CTATCATCCTAATGGATCGTTTAGCAGAGCCCTGAAAAGAAAAAGTGGCCAAACCTCAAATCTGATGAGTTAATTTCTAATCTCCTGCGTGGAAGGCCCCCTAGATTGGCATAAGTAGATCCGGGAAAGTGCGAAACTGAATTGGAGCCACAAGATCTCCAATACCGGGTATCCATTCCGACCTTGCTATGTGACCGAGGCCAAATGGCAAAAGCGAGCTCAGACCAGTAAAATAAAAAGAAATAGTAGGAAAGATTACCTTGACAGAAGCGCGTACGCAAAATTCAATCAAAGCAATGACCAGGATGATGATGCATCCGATAAGCAAGAGGGCATATATTCCGAGTATCATGTCCAGAGTCACAGAATCCTGAGCAGAACTGGTGTACTTCTGCAAGTATTTGTTGATGGTGCGGATGATATTATCACTGTCGCAAATCTTGTTCCCGCCCCGGGAAATGTACCTGAATTGTAAAAAAGAGCGGATTCGAGCATGTCAAGGTGGGGTGGCGAGGTAGCTTGTGGACTGAGATCTTGATCAGCCTAGGCCGCTGACTCACAATGGAGCTTTTTCACACAATTAAACGAGTATGTTTAAGGGTGCTAGTGAAGTTCACTTAGTTGTGCATCTCAAAACTGTTTCACATGCAGGCCTAAATAAACTGCGATTTCGACCTAACCCAGGCCCAATCAGCTGCTGTCACGGGATTCGAGAATGGGTCACGGGCTCCAAGCGACATTTTACAATTGGGCTACACAACCACAGGTTTCAGTAGGTCATAGGTCAGATGCGGCTTCCAGAGCCAATGGCAAGTAAGGAACACTCTTTTCGTTGCGGGAGAATTCAGCCATCAGTCCTTAATTCACCATAAACCACCTAGGCTGATTAAGTTTCTATGCAAAAATAACTTATATTCTCGAAACCTAATAATACCGAAGAAGCGTAAATAGTGCATGATTTTGACGGCAAACACTGAGAATCAACTTCAATGAAATCGACATGACATGCAGCATTGGCAAAGCTGTTCCACTTCTCTGGATATAATGCAGATTCATAATCATGCAATGAACTTGCTATGAGGAGGATATTCGAAATTCTGGACAACACACCTGCCAACGTATGTATCCATTTTGCCGTTGGAGACGAGCTTATTCAGGGTCTCCTCAATCAGAGGACGAAATATGGAGTTGCGTTGCATGATGATGGCGAACTCTTGTGGATCGTCGTTCACAGCCAAACTCCAACAGTTTATATTTGCCAGATAGGCCGAAGTGACGCTATCCCATATCAAGGCTGTGCTGTTATTTCGCACCATCTCAATGGCTGCCTCTAAACTGGCCAACAAACCATTGGAGAAGACGAATCTGACTTGTTGATCTATGATGGAGAGGAGTTCGCTGCTAGCTGACTTCAAGTACAGATCTATGAAAGAGCCGGCAACAGTGCTGTAGTTGTAGGTGGTTTGCTCGGTAAGAGTCTATAAAATCGGAAAAAATTACATATTCAATTAGCATTATTCTCAGTCTTATACTTTTTTGCGCTATAAACTAGAGTCACTGGGGAGGATTAATAGCAAGCGATTAAAAAGCATCAAGGCATAGGATAAAAAAGCTAAACAATTTGGCTTGTTTGAGTAGATAAATGTGAGGTAAGTATCAAATAATATAGCAATAGTGAATTATAAAGGATAATTCCAACTTTCTCAATATCGAAAGTAAAATATAACCCGAGCAAGCAAACTAAATAAAAGGATATAGATAAAAACTACTAAAAACGATTGTTTAAAGTTGAAAAGAGAATAAGACCATAAGATCTGGTAACATCTTTTAGAATTCAAAAAATAATAATGAATTAACATAGGATACATTAAAATGAATAAAGGACTAATATAGATATTTAAGATGTGGTAAAAAGCGAGAATTAAAATTATCAAATATGTAGGAAAAAACAAGTTATATTTTTTTAAAATATAAGCACAATCAATACTTAATGGGCGAAAAAAAATTCAAGTAAAATGGAATTGATAGTTTAATAAAAGGGGTATTCGTAAAACCGTTGGGACATGATAAATTCGACCCCTGGTAAACGGAATACTAAAATAAAAACAGGCATAGGAACGGATAAGTGACTGGAAATAATTGAACAAGAGTAGCTCAATGGTAGTATCAGCATTGAATAGATAAGGATAATCATTATTTT